AGATTGTGAGCCACTTGGCCAACAATTTTAGGTCCATGAAAAATGTTCAAGTCAACTGGTTGTAATGGCTAGCCATTAGGTACTTGATACATTCCAGAAAAGCTTTTTGGGTAACATAGACCCATCACTATGAATGATTTTTTTATACTTTCGGGTCTCAGTAAAATTGACTGTTTTTACATTTAATGTTTTTGTTTTCTTGACTTAACCCAGGGCTGGTGACGGAATGAATGGATTTGTCAACGTCAATGGCAGCAAAGTGGCCATACGATATGACGGGCGGGTCCGATGGATGGTTCCACTCATGGTCTCTAGTGCATGTGCAGTGGATGTCACATACTTCCCATATGACAGACAGGAATGCTCCATAAACTTTGGCTCTTGGATCTACGACAATAGACAAATGGATATCAGAGTAGAGACCAATGTACCTGATCTGCAGCATTACATTATGAACAGCGAGTAAGTGTCCCTCACATGGTCAGAAGGTGTAAAGCCACAATTAAACCAATTTTTGCGAGAGGTTAACTACTTTATTGACAGGTGTAAATGCAAGGATGCTACGGCTACTTTTCTGGTTTGTATATGACTTGTATAAGTTTAAAGTATGCTCTCTGTTTTAGTATGGTAGCAGTAGTGTTCACAACTGCCTATTAGTGTGTTCTTATGAAACTTTCTTCGCAATTTCTTCTACTTTCAATCTTTTCTTCTATGTGATGATAAGTTTTGGGGGGGCTCTCGTGGCCTAGAGGTTAAGGTGTTGGCCTCTCATTCAAAAGGTCCCGGGTTCGAATCCGGGTAGCGACCGAAAAATTTTCTTCTCTAAAATTTGTCTCCTTTCACCTTCTTTCCTGCTCTCTTGCAATGTTCTGTTGTCTGCTTTCATTTCCACTTTCTGCCCCCACCCCCTCACCTCCTTTGCCCCCTCCTCTGGGCTCCTGGCTCTTTCTGCAGACTTTCTACTGCTACTCCTTGGCTCCTCCTTACTGCTGTCTTTTTGCCACACCCCTGATCTTCTGGTAGGAAAGATCTACACCTAGCCTTCTCGGACAAGGGCGAAAAATCTTGGAGGGCCAGTGTGCAAGTTGCACACGTTAAAGATCCCTTGGTGGTCTAAAATCGATAAGAGTAGGCTTCGGCCGCCAACTGAAAAAGTTTAATGTGTCCCGCGCGCTCATTTGACCTTATGCAGTTGCGACTGCCGTAAAACACTTAAGAAAAACAAACATAAGTTTTGGTTATAATCTCATATTGGTTTGCGGGGCAGATTGGGAGAAAATTGAATCATGGTATACTCCAGCAGTGGATGTGATATTTGCTTGGGTTTAATATTTCTGCCTTTTTTCCTGAATTCTTTTTCTTCTTCTTTGCTGTTGTTGAGATTTACATTGTTCAGAAACTTCATACACTAACAGTTTTCTCCCTTGCTGACATCACATGAGTAATAGAATAGATTAAATGTGATAGATTAGAAAGGGAGTCGAAAGGGCCTATCTATTCAAGATTTTGAATGGACAGAACCCTGCCACCCACATGTTGCTTTAAAAAATAGTTTGTATGATGACCTATGTGCAAATTTTTATGCAGTTTTTGTGAGGAAATTGACAAATAATGTTGTTTCAGATACACAGATAACAAACAAACACAACTGCTCATTCAACTACTCACAAACATACCCTCATGTATGTACGTTATTCAAATATTTAAATCTATGCATCCCTTACATGCTCAAGTTCACCATCATTCTCTAAGTATATAATCCTGCTATTATCTCCTCCTCAGATATGACTTGGAAAATGTAAGCATCTCACTTGAAGTCCTCAACAGCACTTGTTGTCCTGGTGAAGGTAGTCATTCCATTGTGTCCTTGAACTTGGCACTGAAGCGGAAGTCACTGTACTATGACTACATTGTTATTGCTCCGACCATCATGCTTTGCGTGTTGACCTTGGCCTCCTTCCTGTTGCCATGTGACCGTGGTGAGAAAATGGCCATCGGTTTGACAGTCTTCCTCACTCTCTATGTCCTGCAGTTGCGCATAGCAGATAATGTTCCTGACACAAACACCACACCAATTCTAGGTGAGTTTGGTTGCAGATATAAAGTAGGCTACTATTTAACTCCTTTGACCTTGAATACAAATGGGTACGTCACTATGCTGTTTTGACTATATATACCAAGTCTGACACCCAGATTATTTTTGTTATTCAGGTTTTAGCACTAGTAGGTGTTCTTTTTTGGGATGGTGAATGAGGTTCAAACTTTTTTATCATGTAGGCCTAGTCTAAACGTTGTTTTAAAGACGACAGCCACCATGAACGTTGTTTGACTTCTGATTGAATGAGATTTTGAATCATGAAACTGTTTGTTTCTGAATAGTCAGTTTTTCAAGATTTGGGCAGGCTTCCATTATTTTGACGAGCGCCTGGTTTCACCACGCTGCTTCGCAAATGGTTAATTTATTTAAAATTTCATAAAGTGGGTTTATCATGAATATGATCTATGAGCTGCATCAAAATCTTCTCTCACATGGTCAGAAGACTATGCATGGTATATCCCATCTTTAGAGCAATCTAGTTACTGTGTGTGCCAAAATAAGCATTGTTAAGTACTGATAGTGTAGTATTCCTGTTGTGCTTTTTTATTTTGTCCTAATAATATCTCTTCCAGCCAACAATCTGTCCTTCCTTCCGTCTCTGTCTGTCTGTCTGTCTGTCTGTCTGTCTGTCTGTCTGTCTGTCTGTCTGTCTGTCTGTCTGTCTGTCTGTCTGTCTGTCTGTCTGTCTGTCTGTCTGTGTGTCTGTCTGCCTGTCTGTCTGTCTGTCTCTCTTCTCTCTCTCTTTCTCTCTCTATCTCTCTCTCTTTCTCTCTCTATATCTCTCTCTCTTTCTCCCTCTCTCTCTCTTTCTCTCTCTCTCTCTCTCTCTCTCTCTATATATATATATATATATTATATATATATATATATTTATCGACATTTCTCTTTCTTATCATCACTTACCTTCAGGAAAATATAAATCAAGTTGGAGGAATTACAAAGACTTTATTATCAAAGTGAGCAAACTCTGTCCCACAGGTGTGTTCATGCTAATCGTCATGACCTTCAACTGTGTGTCGCTAATAATGGCTGCGGTGGTTATGAACATCAAGAAGAGAGGTGATGACGTTACATGTCCTGAAGTGCCTAACTGGCTATTCATTTTGTGCAATCAGGTGAGCTAAAACGATGAGAATTTGACTTGGGCTAGAATTTGAGGGGTGGTGGGAATATTAATAAATAGATAATTTCAGAATAAGCCTAATAATAGATAGATAGTTGTATAGCGCAAATCCCCGCTCAACAACAAGCTCTATGCGCTTCACTATCTATACTATTATCCCAGCAGACCTGAGAGCATTCTGAAACAACCTCAACTTCCTGGAAAGCATACAGTGCAAACTGCCATATAGGCGCTAAAACACTAACGTACTGACAAGATCTTTCACTGTCTATAGCTGGGTACCCATTCCAACTTGAGTGAATTGAGGAAAATTCGTCTAAAGTGCCTTTCTCAAGGACACATCATCGGGCCCACAGTTTGAACCCCCGAACACGCAATCAGAAGAAGCTATCAAATGAATTTGTAACACTAGTTTTAAAGTCATTTTGCTTTTTCTATCCTAGAATGACTGGTTCTCTCCGAGTAAACAAAAATGAACATTCAGCCCAGAGAGAGAGAGAGAGAGAGAGAGAGAGAGAGAGAGAGAGAGAGAGAGAGAGAGAGAGAGAGAGAGAGAGAGAGAGAGAGAGAGAGAGAGAGAGAGAGAGAGAGAGAGAGAGAGAGAGAGAGAGAGAGGGAGGGGGAATGTGGTCTGCCCTAATTAACTCTTTCACTGCCAAAAGGTTTTCCTCTCTTAGACTGGGCCCTGTCTGTGATCTACTTTCTGATTCTGCTCACCCTCAGGCAAATTAAAGATTTTTAGTTCAATTTTCAATATTACTCTCATGTAATATATATGAAAATAAAAGGGAAATAATGACCTTTCTCAACATGTTGCTAAAAACAATAATTTTTCAGCCTGAGATTTCAGTTTTGATTATTACAAAAGTAGGACTTGTTTTGAAGCAGAAAGTGGAGAGAGTGAAACAGGGCTCGCGGTCCAGCTTTGGGAGTAACACGAGCAATGAGACACAGCTCGTTATAGTGAAAGAGTTAAGAAATGTTTGCTTTACACTATCAAAGCACATTTCAATCTGTGAGATGAATAAAGTATTTTTTAAAAATTGTTATTATAAAAAAAATGAAATAAATGGAATACTGGTCTTGCAAAAAATGAAACAATAGGTAAAAACAAATAAGTAATATTAAACACACCATGTAAGAAATCATATCCCATCCAACCACTTCTGTATATATATATATATGTACATAGTGATCACCTTCTATTATTTAGACTCTGGTATTTTTTCAGCTTTGTTCTGATTATATAGTGACAGCCAAAATTTTTAGTAGAATGATTGATGATAGATTAATTATTTTTTAACGATCTTTGGCAGGTCCTCGGCCGTGTGGTTTGCACCAGCTTCCAGTGGCGAGAGGACTTTGAGTCAAAAGAGTTCATGTCATACTCAAAAACAGTCAGGCAGAGGTCAGATCATCTGTATGTTGCTGCCTCTAACAGAATGAGTAGAGCTGACAGAGATTGTCTCCGATACACACCTCTGAGATGTATTGGGGACAGTCCTTCACGGTCTTGTGAATATGACTCATCAGATGATGATCGCTATGGAACGCCAACCAGAGGAAGAGTAACGTGTCCAAGATCTAGTCATGAACATGATTATAGTTTTGTGGGAGATGTTCAAGAAGAGGTTTGGGTCAGAGCCAAGAACAGAAATGAGGAAGATGTAACAGAGGAGATCATGAGTGGCAGCAAAAATAGCAGTCGAAGCAGGAGGTTAAATGGAAAAGGGGAAGCTATTCCTCTGCAGCTACAACATGGCTTGGTAGAAGATTGTGCTTGTGAGTCCCATGAGAACAGAACTGGTGAAGATGTCAGCGGTAGAGATATGGATGGTGTCCGGCAGAGACGACACGGGGAGGAAAGACGGGCACACATAGCCAGCTTGAGTGGTCAGTTGGAGGAAGAAACTGACATGTTGCTAGGGGGATCACCTCTTGATGAAGACAGTTCATCAGCTTCTCATGATGAAATAAAAATAGAGAGCAAAATTTATGCCCATAAGAGACGCTGGTTCTTTGTGGCTCAAGTTGTGGACAAATTCTCTTTTCTTGTTTATCTTATTCTGCTGACAGTTTCCATCTTCACTGTGCTCTTCCTCATCCCAGTTTACTTCAGGAATGACAAATGATACTGTAGTAAGCCAGTTCTAGCGTTTATAAATCAGTAAAAATTATTACATGCTCATGTTATGACAACAATTTTGAAGAATGCAATTGTTTCATCTCTTTGGAAACCGACTTTTGTATTATTTATTTCATTCAAGTTTTGGCAGACTTAACTGGGACAAGTTTACTAGATGATATGGTCTTTAAAGGGGTTAAAAAAGCATTCTATCATTCTTTTGGAAACAGAAAGCTCTGTAATGCACAACACTTATCTTCTTAATGTTTCCTCAGGCTAAACATATTGCGAAGCAGACAAAATATACTGAGAGAGAGGTAGAGAGAGAGAGAGAGAGAGAGAGAGAGAGAGAGAGAGAGAGAGAGAGAGAAAGAGAGAGAGTATCTAATTTTGTTGTCTTGTGCAACATTTGAATGGACGATTGCTTGTTTTTATTGTATGTCTACTCTTTTATATTTGTGGTTGGAGAAGAGATTATGTATATATTATATATATACAGGAACACATTTAAGCTATAATCAATAGAAACAACTCGTATTTCTTTCGTTCATGGAATGGTATTTTATTTTGAAAGTGTCTTTTCTTTGCCGTATAGTTTACTTAATGGGAGTGAATTCTATTAAAAGTCTTACTAATTCAGAGTTATGTTGAGCTCAGTTATTTGTTTTTTTAAATGTGTTTATTACATATTATGATGATGACTAGAACTGTGTGGATCAAGAATGACTATTTTGAAAGATTACATTGACACTGGCATCTATATAGTGCGGTCAAAATTTTGTGAAGCAACTTATTGTCAAATATTCCCTAAACTATCGACCATAGACTTTCCTGCTATTGCACAATGACTTGTATCAATTTGTCTGAACAGATTAATATTTTTGTAAACACCTGTTAGCTGTATTCTAGAAACTTCCTAATAAATACTAGTAAAAAATTGAAGTAAGTGGTTTGCACAGAATTTAAAAATGTTTACAGCTGAGGCAATATCCATCATGTTTTTCTTATGGCAACGTTGTCATTATAAATGGTCGCTTTTAAGGTTCGGGCTAACCCAGATTTTGGGTGTTTCCAGAAATCGTGACCTACACCAAAAGTGGGCATTGCCCTACCTATAGGAGAAGCTTGGTTTCATTGGTGTGTATATTTGTTTGGTTATAGATAAAACTCTCATTGTCTTTTAAAGAAACTGAACAAGGGTCCAAGAACTTTACCTTCAATTTTCTCAAAATGGCTTTTTTCGGGATAGCCCCCTAGTGCTTATAAGAGCGACCAACTAGAACCATGTTTTGAGAACCTTTAGTGCAAAAAAGTGTTCAATATAAAATATATTTCTTTTCACAGATTTTGCCACTAAAAAGTGTCATGGTTGAGTTGTGACATGTAGGCCATATTCATTTTAAAAGCAAAATGTTTGTGAGAGTCGGGAAGTGCTGTGAACAACCCCATTTTCCACAAGACAGTGATTTATTGTATTTTATATGAATTTATGACGAAAAGTTTTTTAATCTGGCCTGAATTATAGTGGAAAAATATGAGTAATTTAAGACAAATTGATACAAACTGATGTAGGCCTGTAAAGTATGGGGGACAGTGGTTCACCTGTTAAAGAGATAGGCCAATTTGAGGATAAGTTGAGCCACGAATTTTTGACAGCACTATAATTGTAGTCTCAAGCCAAAATTGTTAGCCACATCCACAGCAGTTTAGTGAAAGTATAAATGTCATAAATAACGGTTAGAGAGTTTTTACTTGGTTGCAGGCTTGGTCAACAAACTTGTGAAGTTTCATATATTGATGGTATTTCATTCTAGCTGTGTAACTGGAAGAAATAGGTCAGCTCAACAGGTCCACAATTAAAAAACAAAACAGGAATTGGCATGCTATATAATAATTATTTATATCTAAGCACTGTAGGCTAACTGTTGTGCCTTCTCTCATAATTCAAATCATAGTGGTTCCTTTTGGCATTAAACAATTGTCAAGAAACCAATTACATGGTTGCGGCATAACACCATTACTAGGCCTACGCTCCCTGGGAAATTTTATTTCAGGTTGTATTTTCTCCAAAAAGTTCAACAGTCAACATTCGTTAGAATTTTGTCTAATTAAATAATTTTGGAATGAAAGTGTGCTTTTTAGTGCATCCACACATAACATATTAGTATACTGGAAAGAGTATTTGAAAGAGCTGAGATGACATTTAAGTTTAAATTAATGCTTTTCAAAGTGAACTTGACATCAATTTTAGCCTTGTACAATTAATTATAATAGAATTGTTGAATTTATAGATATACCCCATCTTTCTCTTATGACAATCCACGAGATTAAAAAAGATATGTGTCCATTTTACGGTTAATTGACTCCTTTCTTTTTCATGCTGACTTTGCATTCCATTTCTTCCTTAAAAAAAATTAATAATTTTAACAAAAACGGATTCCCGAGCATGACGGAAATGCATTAAGTCTGTAAAATTATTGTAGGCCTAATTGAGATCCCCTGTTCTTCAGATATAAAGGGGCAATAACAGAGATTATTTATTTAGCAAACGAGAAAATTGCTTCCCTTTGGAGTCAAGTTCATTGTAACATTAAAAGGGGTTGTCCTTGGTTACAGCACACGCACGAAAACTGTGGATTCTTATGGAAAGATACGGTTAGTTAAACATAAATATAAGTAGACCGATTATATACTGATGTAGCACATTTTTATATAATTCTGTATCTGTCGTCTCACTTCCTCCCCGGTTCCCCCTCCCAACCTTAAAACACAACGTTTTTCTCTACCTTTGGCGGCTTTGGCCTCCCCTAAAAGTAAACTATTCTGCATCCATCCAGGTCAGGAAATTTCTGCCAGAAAGAGCCGAGCAAAGAATAAAAAAGAGGATATTAAGCAATTAGCTCAGCTGTCTTAGAACAAAAGGACGCCCCACTCTTTCTTTGTCTTCGTTTTTTCCCCTGTGTATGGAACCTTGGGTCAACAGAGACATGGTTTGAGGAAGGTGAGAATTGTTGCACTTATTTATCAAGCAACATAATAAGTAGACCTTAGGAAAACATAGCAATTCAAGCCTCATAAGTCTTCGGTGATACGAGACATATCTTTCTTACCCGTAGGGAATTTGAATGGTGGACGTTATAAGGTCTTAGTTTTAGTTTTAGTAGAGGTTTTACGGCGCTTGCAACTACATAAAGTCATATGAGCGCCTAAGGGTGGATGTCAACAGAGAAGTCCAAGCGGGGAATCAGACTTGCTCTGCTCACCTCTCTAGCTTCAACAGCACAAAGTCTGCTTCGACTATCAAGGCACCCAGGAAATAACGGGTCACAAGAGTGTGACAAACATACAAAAGAAGTTGAGGAAAAATGACGATAGTAAGGATTAGGAAAGAAAAAGCAGCAGTTCCTTGTTGCAGTTCGGGCACAGCTATGAGCATGACAATGATGAATCAGCTCATTTTCAATTATAATTCTACTGTGCATAAGAACTCGAGATGTTGATGCCCCCCCCCCCCCTTTGGGAATGGCCTAAAGACATTTCAGTCAGTAGACCGCCCCGGGGGGTTATTATATGGTCTGAGGTCTGAGACAGTAACTTATTTCAAGAAATATTGACGTTACAAAGAATGGTGGACTTTTTGTATGACGAGTCAGACTAAATGTTTTGACGATTTACTTGTTTTATGAATCTTCATTGGATCGAATTGCTGGCCATGTGGCATTCATCAACTTCCAGATGGTAGTCTATAATGTGTTCGATCAAGTATGACCGTAGGTCTTGCTTTTGTGTTATTTCAAAAGGTGGAATAACTTGGCTGGGCTTTTCTGTTTCTTCTTAATTTTGGTCCAAACTCAAACTGGAACATTGACTTTGAGGATGATTTAATTCAATGCACCTCCCCCGTTCTCTCTCTCTCTCTCTCTCTCTCTCTCTCTCTCTCTCTCTTTCTCTCACTCACTCTCCCTCGCTCCCCCTCCCCGTCGCTCTCCCTCTCTATCTCACCCCTCTCTGTTTCTTTAACTCATTTTTTCTTTACCATAGGTTGCGTACTGAAGTTTGCTGTTAATGTTGTTTGATTTAAAAATGAGTTGAAAAGTATTCAATGTATTTCAAGATGAGTCTAAAAGTATTATTTAAATTGCATTTAGCGTATAGTCTTCTAGTCGATCTGAGGCGTTAAGGTTGATTTCCTACAAATTGCCTTAGTGGTACAAAGTGTGGAAAATGACTGATCCCGAGGACTTATGTGATGATTCTCAATTCAATTCACCAGAAGGAAGTATTCAGCGTTTGTTTTGTTACTTTCTAACGTAGATGTTTTAACACTTACACCCCTGTCGACGCAATTTAGGTCATTTAGGAGGAGGGCTTCCGTCCTTACCTGTCAGGGCCAACCCAGACTTGCTGAGAGGGTCACATCATCCCTGCAGAAAGATCAGGACACACCATAAAACATGTCTCCCTACTCGGGAATCGAACTCGGGTCTCATGCGTGCGACATCGAAGCTCTTTACCGCTACACCACAGAAGTTGGTTTCGGCGTAATAATAATAACAATAATAATAAAAGATAGATAGATAGATAGATAGATAGATAGATAGATAGATAGATAGATAGATAGA